GGTCTCCACAACACCGCGGCGACTGCTTGCCACCTCGTGGCACTACACATGGTTCAACCCCCCACAGACAGCGAGTTCATGGGGATAATTGAACACGACATGGAGTCCCTTCACAAACTCCTCACCGAGGAGCCAGAGTCATCCTCTAGCTCTGACTCTAGCATGGGGAGCCATCACCCTTCCTAGGAATGCTTCATGGCAGAAACCTTCGTGGGGCACGTCGAAAGCGTCTCCGAGGGGAGGCTACCCCGACAGCCAACCCTGACGCCAGGACTAGAGGGGAGGCGGCGGCCCCATCCCACGTAAGGATGGAGCGGCTGAGAGGCAGAAGCTAGAAATCGATGACGCCGGACAATAGCTTGTCCGGGAGTACCGAAAGATCGATGAGGAAATCAAGCGTCGCGGAGACGGTGGGCACGCACGCGCCACGGCCCGTGATGTGCACCAGAGGATCCTCACCGATGACGGGGCCCTCCCTCACTTCGCTCGGGCAAGCTAGAACATCGCTGCTGCGACAGCCTTACTTCACGGCCTTCCAGAGGCCGCAACGTCCGGGGACTGCCAGGCCCGCCGAGAAATTCGCACATTGCTCGAGCATGCGGCGGCACAGCAGGTGGAAAGCTCATTGTCTCAACAACGCGAGCTCGACATCAGCTAGCTCACGCCCTCGATGCGTCCCACCAAGGACGCGTCGGTTCACCAAACACCACCGGGCGGTAGGCAGCACACCATTGCTCCGGTGCATCAACGTCTCGGCCATGACCGCGACGCCCGCAGCACCATCGACGCCCGCAGACGCGCCTACAATGACTTAAGAGAAGGAGCCAAACGCGGCTACCACCCTCGGCGAGGCGGACGCTACGACAGCAGTGAGGACCGGAGCCCGAGCCCCAGCCTGCTGGGCCCTCAATCCTTCTGCCGGCACAAACGCTGAGTGGAGGAGCACCGGACGCTGGGGTGCCTGTGTCTGGTCCACTCTAGAGAGGTTCTAAAGAGGCTTTTTATTGACCGGACGTGTTCGGTGGGTACTGACCGGAAGCTGGTCGGAGCTTACCGACACTCTCTGACACAGTGGTGGGTACAACTAACCAGAGCATCCGGTTACCCTAATCGGAGTGTCCGATCAGCCCACAGAGTGATGACTTAGCCTCCAAACGTTATGTTTTGAACGCAGGGGTATAAATACTTACTCTACTCATCCATGGGAGGTCTCTTGCCCATTTGTTGAGCTGAGAAACACCTTTGGAGTGCAAGGGAGAGCAAGAGCCTAGTGGGGTGATTGAGATTTGGTAATCCAAGATTAAGGACCTCATTAGTGCATAGGGAGTAGCAAGTGTGCATCCACCTTTCTCATTAGGCTTGTCTTGATCAAGTGAGAGTTTGTGCTTGTTACTCTTGGTGATCGCCATCACCTAGACGCCTCGGTGGTGATTGGGAGCTTAGTGATCATCCGGCGGAGCTTGTGGATGACCCAAGTCACATTGTGAGTGGTTGTGGGCGATTCATCGTGACAGAGTGTCAAAGAATCAGCCCGTAGAGAGCACTTGATCCTTGCGTGGATCAAGGGGGAGCTACACCCTTGCGCGGGTGCTCCAACGAGGACTAGTGGGGAGTGGCGACTCTTCGATACCTCGGGAAAACATCGACGTGTTCCTTTCCCTCTCTTTACTTTGAGCATTTACATTTGAGCAATTCATTTCATGTCTTTACATTCCTAGAATTACCATGCTAGAGTTGGATTGAAACCTAGGGTGCAAAACTTTTGTATGGGAGAACAATAGAAACTTTTAGACATAAGGGGTGAAATGGGCTAAGTATAGGGCTTAATTATTGCAAAAATTTAGAATTAGCCCAATTCACCCCCCCACCCTCTTGGGCATCTTGATCCTTTCAAGTGAAACTAGAATGATAGGCTAGCAGGGATATTCAGTATTTAATGATCTCCTACTCTGTGTCTTTGTATTTAGTATTTCTATCACTACTTGATGTAACTTGTTAATTTATTACTTGTTGTATGCTGATTGAGCAATGCGAGTCTTGATGATTGGTTCGTGGACTGTAACTCTACTTATGATCCTGTGTCTTGGTGGAGTGGAGATGTGATGGCATCTCCCGGGGATCACCGTGGTTGATTTTCTTAAAACGGGTTGGTCAAGTGGATGACACGGAGTTTAGGTAAATTAATGCGGCAGACCCCCACATGAAGAGCACAAGGAGATGAAGAAGGACAAGAAGATTGAATCATGCTCAAGTTCAAGTGAAGACGAAGATAAGGATGATGATGAAGATGAAGATGATCAAGAAGAAGCTTCCACCTTCTCCTCATCATCATCGTCCTCTAATGAATTGATGGAATTGATTAGAGGAGTGAAGAATATGATTGTCAAGATCCGGTCCAAGGGTATGCCCATTATCATGTTCACCGAAAAAAGAAAAAGCAAAGAGAAGAGAGGATGGTTTGGTTTCAGTGACTTCGACTAATTTTGCTCTTTTGTTACTGTCGCTAACATATAGCCCCACATGTCAGTGCTCATGAGTCGAAGATAATAATAGAGTAAATGTGCCAAAAATCATGTAACTATCATGTTCACCGAAAAAAGAAAAAGCAAAGAGAAGAGAGGATGGTTTGGTTTCAGTGACTTCGACTAATTTTGCTCTTTTGTTATGGTTGGTAACATATAGCCCCACATGTCAGTGCTCATGAGTTGAAGATAATAAAAGAGTAAATGTGCCAAAAATCATGTAGCTTTTTATGTAGTTGCTTTTTTCAAGAAGTGGCAAAACGCTTAAGCTTTCAAAAAGTTGGTTTTAAAAAGTATAAGATGCGCCAAATAAGGCCAAATTAATTAGATACACCATGAACCATACTTTGATAATAATGTTATTTGATGTTATAGATGACAGTAAATTTTCTACAAAATTCAGTAAAATTAGGTAAGTTTGACTAAAGACAAAACTAAATGATATGGTTTGAAAGGAGACAAGAGTTAGTCCTAGATGCCGAATGACTCTAGCTCTTTCTATGGTGTACCAAGGAGCCAGAGCCGGTGAATCAAAAAATATCATATCTGCTTCTAATTCATTTTCAGAGGAGAGATAAAAATGGCTCCTTGCTATTAAATGAAAAAAATTGAAGCAGAAACTGATTGGAGCTCCACCAACAGGGTCTGTTTGCTGTGTCTCCAACTTTGACTCTAGCAACAACTTCAACACAGAAGTCCGAGGAGCCGTACCAAAAACCCAAAGAGGAGAAGCTATTTTTTGGTATAGATAAGAGGAGCCAAAGTCGTTTTTAATGTACAGAGAAGCTACTTTTTAAGTCTGCTGCTCTAGCTCTGACTTCGAAGAGGAGATATGTGAGAGCACTGACTCCAGCGGAGGACATACCCGAGAAAAAGCCATGCCAAATAGGGATGGAAAATGAAAATGGGCATCCGAATTATTTGACATTTGTACTCTCTAAAACCTATAATATGGATATCCGTATTCGTACCCATTTCTACCGTGGATACTAAATGGATGTATCCAATTTTGTTTTTTAGTATTTCTCTCTATTCGATCCAAGATCCGTATTCAACAAAAATATAGAATATTCGCATTTATCAGTGTCCATGAAGAAGAATGTATAATGAACCTATTTAAAAGTTTTCTCTCCATATCTATAGTGACTAATCTTTAATTTTAATATTACTAATGATGCATTGAAACTATTTAATACTATATGTATAAAGAATTTTTAATTAATTTGATATTATTAATGATACATAAAGATTAAATTAATTTGAGTTTTTTATAATTTAGTTTAAACCTAATATATTTGTTGTTGTTGAAAATAATTTAAATACTTTAATTTTATTTATTTACTAATGTAAACTATATTTTATAATTTATAATTTCATGATAAATATTATATAAATAATGATTGATTAATTGATACATTTAATTATTAAATATATTGATAACTATATTATTTTTTATGATCTATCATTGTCTATGTTATATACCCACATACTTTAATCTCTACTTGTGTAATAATTTTGTAATTACAAAACATTGATAAAGCAAAATGGCTACTTATTGTCTACCATTATTATTTGAATTTAACCTGTCATTTTATTAAATATTATCGATTATAATTTATTTCACTTTGATATTGGAGATTATTAGATGTGTACTTTTCATTTTATCTCACTTAGGTTATTGGTGAACTTATTAGTAGTAAAATTCTATTTATGTATCTTGAATTTCATTTAACAATATGCACTTTGAGTTGAATTGAGTAAATATTCGAAAAGATATCTGAATCCAAGACATCAATTTCGTATTTATATTTGAAAATATTCATATCTATATTCAAATTTGAATTAAAATATGGTAAAAAATGATAGCCAAATTCGATTTCATGTGAAACCGATCCGTTTTCATCCTTGAGGCACGTTCTCCACTCCACCTAGAAGGCCGAGCTGGCGCCACCTTGTTACAATTTAGGGTGCGTTTAGTTCCAAAAAATTTTGGATTTTGGCTCACTGTAGCATTTCGTTTGTATTTGGTAATTAGTGTCTAATTATGGACTAATTAGATTCAAAAGTTTCGTCTCGCGATTTCTCGACCAACTGTGTAATTAGTTTTTTTTTTCATCTATATTTAGTACTGCATGCATGTGCCGTAAGATTTGATGTGACAGTTACTATGCAAAATTTTTTAGCAACTGAACGGGGCCTTACAAGACGACACGAGATTCTGGCCCAGTCCAAAGTCGACCGTTGGGTGCGCCCCGAAATCAAATAAAATCGCCCACGAATTCCATATTTTCATTCCACTTCCGCTTTCGACCGTTGCATAATCTCCCTCCACAAAAACTCAAACGCTCCTCCCGCAGTCCCGCTCACGCCGCCGCTCTCCTCCCCAGCGCCCAGGTAACGCTAACGCACCAGCGAGCGCCGTGGAGAAGCAGCAGCACTACAGGTTCACAGCAGCCACCCCGTCGAGGTCGCCGCGAGATGGTGTCCAGGACGCCCACGAAACCACCGCCGTCGCCCAAGCTCGGTGCCGGCAGCGTCACCCCGTCGAAGCCGTCGCCGACGCTGGTGGCGCGCCCCGGCCGTGCTCTCCGCCGCCGTCTTTCCCCCGCCACCACCAAGCGCCGCGGGAGCCCGCTCAAGTCGCTCGCGTCTGCGCCCGCCGCCGTCGCCGCCTCCTTTGACCGCTCCATCCGCTCCTGCCGCCGCCGCCTCCTTAAGCTCTTCGCCCGCCTCGCCGTCCTTGGAAGCCCGCGCAAGCGCCGGGCTGCCGCCGCGGGGTTCCAGCGCCTCCGCTCCTCCTCAACTCCTCCTCCGCCGCCGCCGCCTTCGCAGAACCCCGCGGTCCGCGCGCAGTCCGCGGCGCTCCCGCCGCCGCCGTCACCGGGGAGGCCGACGCTGTTCCTCGACCTCGACGAGACGCTCATCCACTCCCAGACGGACCCACCGCCCTCGCGGTTCGACTTCACCGTGCGCCCCGTCATCGGTGACCAAGCGGTCACCTTCTACGTCGTCAAGCGCCCGGGCGTGGAGGCGTTCCTCCGCGCGGCGGTGGAGATCTTCGAGGTCGTCGTCTTCACCGCCGGGCTCCAGGAGTACGCCTCCCTCGTGCTCGACCGCCTGGACCCTGACGGGGAGGTGTTCGCGCACCGCCTCTACCGCGGCGCTTGCCGCGACGCCGGTGACGGGAGGCTCGTCAAGGATCTCGCCGCCACCGGCCGCGCGCTGGACCGCGCTGTCATCGTCGACGACAATCCCAATGCGTACGCTCTGCAGCCGGAGAACGCCGTCCCGGTGGCCCCGTTCGTGGATGATGACAACGATCAGGAGCTGCAGAGGGTGATGGCCTTCTTGGACGTTGCCGCGGGGTACGAAGACACCCGGGATGCCATCAAGGATCTCGTCACGGCAAACTGAGCCGCTGTCCTGCCACAGCGGAGAAGGTGCCCCTTGTGCCTATCCCTTCTTGAAGCAGTTTCAGGTTTAAAGTTAGCACATTTTCACAGATTTATCTACTGGTTAGTCGGAAAGAGAGAGATTGCAGCAGAACAGGAGATGTTTAAAGCTTCGATTTTTCAGGATCTTCCTGAATTTCAATGCGAGTATTATGATGTAGCTGAAACCAAATTGAATTGTTACTGTAGAATGTTGAAATCACCGATTACAAGACTTATTTTCGTTTCGGATATATAATCAATGACTTGTACTGCATTCTGAAGCAGTTTTAGGGAGTCAGACTAAAGGTGAATATCAGATGGTGATGAGCATCCAAGTTTCAGAATCTTCCTGAGTTTATCTATGCTGCTGAAATCAAATTGAAACTGTAGTATGTGCAGATGCTTTGATATTATGGCATTATTAAGAATTTAGTCCATTCGGTGTCCATTATGAGATGGTGTCTAACATTCAGGAATTTTCCTCAATTGGGGCCAAACATGTCGCTGAAATCGAAATACGTAACTGTAGTCTATGGAATGCTTTGAAGCTATGGAATTACAGCCACAGGGATATGTCTCCATATCTCTCGGGCACAATTTCTTTTCTTTTTTTTAAAAAAAAAAAGCTCTCGTGCACAGTTTCTGACTAATTTACTATCTTTTTATTTCTTTCCCTCATGATATTAACAAATCGATAGCTGCTTTCTAGGTATTAAAGAAAGGATGGAGAAACAACTGTAGATGTAAACAAGCCTTCTGGTCGAATAGACAAACAATTGTCAAACGGATACCAAACTATTTGAAACTATTTAATCATGAATCATCTGTTTTTTTCTAATTGTGCAGACAAGTCAGACATTGTAATCTAGTGCTAATCTTTTACCACCCATGAGCTGAGCAGAATCGTTTTAATCCATTTTTCTGTACCCCTAAGTACACCCTGGTAGAATATCAAACATTTTATTTTATTGCCCATATGACGAACTGTTGCAAAAAATTGTTCTCAAACTAAAATGATCTCCCTGAACTGATTAGTCCTAGAGACCCAGAGACTAACTAGGATCATTTCGATCACATAGAAGTGCAAGCCCCCTTCCCACCAAAATAAAAAAGAGCTTCTCGAATCACCATCATATAGGGATATGTCTCCTTTTTATCCCTCCATATTATTTTGATGATGATCTAATATTCCCAAACAATAGGGGTGCCTCTAATATTCCCAAAAAAGAAAGTTTTGACAATGAGCATGAAAGTTTCATTCTCACAAGCTCCATACTTACACGAGAAGTCTCCATAGTCCATACGAGTAATTCACTATGCTAATGGCACATATGAGATGTTTCAAAAGTTTTATCTCAAAAAAGTTAAAAGAACAGCATACCATGTGCTTCCTTTTGCTTTGAATAAACAAAATTGTTCCATGAGTTAGAGGATCTTTTAAGCTAAAATGCTCCTTTGGTTGGTGTAATACTTACACCGATAGAGTTGTTTGTCTAGCAATCGCTGTGAATTACTACTGCAAAGAACATAGATAAAAGAACTTTGTGACAGGAGGCTGGAGCCAAGTCGGCTGAACCAATTTAAGTTGGCTAATCCAACCTATCCACTAATACAGACACAATGAATGACACTCTAAGTGGATGGAGATTGGGGATTGATTGACCTTACATAGGCTACGACAGTATCTTCGTCGACTAGCTCTAACCCCTCGCATGCTGAGGCAATACGACAGCTCTTCATGTACCCACAAGGAGAGCGACCGAGGCACCGTGCATGCTAGCACGTCTGATCGCCGATGATGGTTACGTAGTATGATTAGCGAGTAATAGCCCATGATCTTCTTATGCTAGGGAGGGCAGACCTGATTCTATAATACTAACACCCCCACCCTAGTGTGCCATGTTCGTGGCGCGTTGTTAAAACTTTCACTATTTCTCGATCTTAATATAAAGATGCGCAAACCTTTTACGTATTCGAGAAAAAAAAGCCTTACATAGGCTGGCCGACCCCACCCCTACTACTCCAAGTATTCACCCACATGTGGTGTCCTATGATTTGAAATCTCTCCACTCCCTTATAAATTAATAATAAAATGTTCATATTAATTTGGTTTCATGATTGTTCATAAAACTCGATCAAATCAATCTTGAGAGATTATTTGAGCACAACTTTGGCTCGACACATTAGCTTGCATAGGTTTTACACTTTTCCTATCCATCTGTCGACTGAAATCAGGCTCATCCTTCAGTCGACGTGCGGTCCTTCGTATCGGGTCCAGCTGTGGCTGTTTTCGCCTTGTCGGGTCCGTCCTCATTATCGGGTTCAGGATTGGAGAACACACCCGCTATCGCCCACCGCCCAGACAGGAGTCACAGGACACCATACACAGACAGGAAGGGACTCGGTGTTTTTGGTGGAGCTCTTCGCGGCGGGAGGGGGCGATTCCTCTGTCCATCTCCGTGCTCCTCTCTGTTTAGGCGCCAGAGCCTCTCCTCGCCGATTTTGGAGGCTCAGTCGCGGCCGCCATTGGTAGAGGTCGTCAGGTACCCTGACTCGCGAATCCCTATCTTGTTTTGGATTTATCTCAGGTGTTTCTACTGGATCTGGTTCTATAGTTGGTCGATTGGATTTCATGGTGTCTGGATGACCGGATGTATCTGTGGTTTGATTCCATGGAGGATGGAGTTGGCTTAGCTCAGTGAAACTTTGGGGCCGTGGTATCTGGGATTGCATGGCTTAGTTTAGTAGATCCGGTGTTGTCTCTCTAGATTGCATGGGGGATTTGCCTTTTGTGGTGGGGGATTCGTCGGAATGGCGAAATGGTGAGTGGAGAATTATATGAACTGCCGATGTGCTTCTGTTAAGTCTGGTGGGCTGTGTTTGGGTAGTGTTGACGAGTCTGCTGCCGCTGATATGGGGATGCTGAGATGCTTGGGAATTTTGCAGCCTAGGGGAAGCAAAGCCAGCAGACAGGTAGGGAGGACGGAGGGAAGGATCTTGTAGTTCGTTTCTCTCTTTTCCATTTGGTTTGAATTACCTAATGCAGTTGAATGGTTGTTCACATGCTGCTCCAGCATGTGCAGTTTTTCCTATAAATAGGAATAGGCCTATAATTAGTTCTATGGGAAGTTGGCACTTCGTGGTGTTAATCTGCTTTTTTAACACAATGTGATTGTGGATATGGTTCTCATGGGTGAATTGTCATGGATTTGTGATCCTCCACCGTTCTAGGAAAATCATATGTTTGAGATTATTAAAATTACTATTTCCTGTGAGAATTCAGGATATGGCTTTCATGTCATGGCCTTGGAAGCTTCAATTAGAATTTCCCCTGTCCTTGTCAGTTTGCATGTGTTTCCATGCATTTCAGTTGGGTTGAGCCAGTTGTGCTATTTTCTAACAAACGTTGCTTGTGGCTATCATTAATAAGTTCTTAATTTATGCATTTTGGGCATTTTTGGAACCTTCACTTATCTGTCGGTTTTAAGGACAGGGTTATATATTAGATCTACATGCCTGCTAGAGTTTTCATTTTTTTCTAGTCATGTCAAAATTCATGGACACTAAACTGAATATCCCATATTCATTATTTTGTGCTGGATATTTTGATTAGAAATTTTTTGAAAAATAGCACGCACCCACTTTGTAATAGAACATAGAATTTCACAAGAAACACGAGATGGACCTCATAAGGACAGTTTAGCGTCAATAAGAACCTAAGTACCTGATGCTCTTTGTTTGCACTATCATACTGAACTTCTATCCGGTTCTGTAACTTATGGATGCATTCTTTCTGAAACACACTATCCTACATTGTACATCTCAACCCAAATTCACCAAATTAATAAACCTTTGTCTTTAAATGTACTATGTACATTCTGAATTTGTTTCCAATGCAAAACTGCAAAGCACTCACTCATCATATTTGCTCCAAAATGAATACGTACAAGAATGGCAGTTGGGTTAGATGCTGTGACCGTTTGCATCCATTTGTCGTAGACCCGACCGGCTCTCTGTTCTTTTTTAAACTGAATGAATGCAGAGCTTCACTTGTTCTTTTCTAAACAGGTATCAGTATTTTGTAGTCGTAGTATTATATACTTTCTTTTTCAAGCATCGCTAGATGGCATGTGACAATATGGTTTCTTATAGTCCTGAGCATTGCTAGATCGACAACTGCACTTACTTGTGCTGCATTAGAAAAAAAAGCACCTATTTATGGCTTTTTAGTCATGTGTCTTATCCGGATTATTAGAGGCTCTCCTCTTGAGGAGCTTTTTTTTTATCTTTTGCTGATCTTGAGTGGATTTGAATTTTTTTCTGTCTAGTTATGTATCCAAATTCCAGTGGCTTTAGGTAATATTGTTTTGGCTATTTTGAGTCACATTGACTGTTAACTATCTCTTCCTATGGTCCTGTTAACAATTACGTTAATTTTTGTAATCTGCTACATTATTTCGTTGTTGTTTCGACCTTGTCATTCCTTCCCGTCGCTTCTCTGGCTTATAGTGTCGCACCATGTTTACTTCCGGTTCTTGTTCTTAGCGTCTAATTATTCTCTCAACTGATCCTTCAACCTGCCCGCTTCTCCGGCCTCCTATCTCTTGTAATATGTGATTGTGCTGGTTTTGGCAAAAACTTTTGTAAATTGTCCTTCTATAGAAAATAATTGTCTTTTGTAATATGTGATTGTGCTAGTATTGAGAAAAGATTTTGTAAATTGTCCTTCCATAGAAAATTCTTTTCTCTTGTAATCTGTGATTTGTCTTGGTTATGGGAAATTTTTTTGTAAATTGTCCTTCCATAGAAAAAAAATTATCTCTTGTAATGTTGTATTTGTGCTTGTGCTTGCGTAGAATAAAAATTATGTCTTTATTATGTGATTTTATTATTGCCAAAAGCTATCATCCCTGTATCCGTTGAAATTATGTGATTTGTCAAAATTTGGATCTGATTTATGTGCCACCAAGCTGGCTAAGT